CTTGCACCAGTTGAGCCCCCGAAGAGACCTCCACCAGATGAAGCACCTGGCAAGCATCGCACGAGTGTGTGAGCTTCCGTCCGAAACCTCCGCGGTGCCGGCCGACGGCACCTCCCATGGCCATCGCAGAGGTCGCACCTGCGCAGAGGTCGCAGAGGTTTGGGGCGGCGGGGCCACTTCCAGCATCGCTTCTTCCACGGGTTTATAAACGACGGGCTTTCGTAGAGTAGGTGCTAAAATGTGCTAAGCTGCTAATTGTGCATGTCAATGGGGGATCTCATTCCCTCCAGCTGCTCTCTCCAGCCCGACATCACTCTTCTTGGACGATCACCAAGAGAACCCGCTGAATTTAAGCATATAAGTAGGCGGAGGAAAAGGAACTAAACAGGATTCCCTTAGTAATGGCGAACGAACCACCGTGAGGTTTGCACGTGAGCGCTCACTTGGCACGTTGAACGTATATGTAGCCACTTCTTGAAATAATGGGGGGGCCGCTTTGCTTTCAAAAAAGGCCCCACTGTCACCACAACAAGGAAACAGGCAGCTCAACCCAGAAAGGACCAAAAGGACAACAAAATGTTGCTTGACTCATCAAAGGAGCCCAAACACATGTTCCAAAATGTTCCAAACTCCGTTTTGCACCCCTTCTTCGACCGGCTCCCGACTGCTGCAAGCCCATGCAGCCCATGCTGGCCAGCAGGTCCCATGCCTAGCATTCCAAGGAGACCTCCAGATGAAGCTGCCTGCATCACGTGTTCCAAACAGGTGGCTGATTTGGTCGATCAACGGCAGCACGTTTACCCTCTCCACTGGGTCGCTGTAGAACGCCCAGTTGAAAGAACGCACGACTTATGCCAGCACGCCTCTCCAGAAGGGCGAGAAGTCCCCTTCTACAACTTGGAAGACGTGACGTCCACAGAAAACCCATCCACAAGCAGGTCTTCAGATGGTGCTAAGCCCAAAACAGCTTCAGAATACTTAGCGGAAAATCCTGCACAACGTGCTGTCCGAATGCTGTCCTCAGACATGATCAGACCCCCAAGCGTACCCACTCCAAAGCCTCACGAAGTTCCAGGGGACCACACCGCCCTCCCCTGGAAGCACTCGCCCTGCAAGCCGCCCACCTGGGAGTTAGAACTGGCACCCGAGGCGAAAAGACCACCCTTAGCACCTCAAGGCCGGCGCGTGAAGTCTTGGAGCGTCGGGTGGCTTTGGCACGAGAGGCACGGAGAGCTCGCGAAGGGCCAGTGGTTTCAGTTCCACTCAAACCAAGTGGTTCCGAACGAAACCCTGGTGCCTGACGTGGGTCATGCCTCAAAAATCACCTTAAAGGTCATCCACTTGATCCCGCTCTTGAGAGCGGTGGGGGTGGGTGGATGCAGTTGGCTACCAGATCTCTCTTCCAGCGGGCCATCTGAGGTTCGATGGCACTCCAATTCCAGGATGTCTTTGAAAAAAGATGGGAGTCCATCTACTAGGAGCAAGAAGCTACTAGGAACAAGTGCATCGCTTCTAGTAGCAAGTGCCTTACTACTAGGAGCAAGGTTCGCTACTAGGAACTACTTTCGGGGGGATTGTGCCATCTACTCTCGATCCAGGTTGATCCTTTGACCCACATCCTGGGCCCTCTGGGCCCCGCACCGCCGGCAAAGGGGTTGGCGCCATTGGCACCTGAAAAGCCATTGCATCACGTTCGATCTCCTCCCGGCATTCCTATGTCCTTCCATCAACTTGCATCCACTTCGGTGTGCATCTAGTCAAGGATGACATGATGAGCCCTAGAACATCTAGAACGATAGGACATATAATAAACAAAACTCAGACTAGAATGAAGAAATGGCAGCTTGCTTGCTGTATTGCAGCCTTGTTGCCCAATAGATCCATTTTGCATCAAGGTATATCAAGGTATATATATATATATATCAAGGTATATCAAGGTGTCCAATTCCATGCTAGAAACCTGTTCGAAACTCCCACTGCAGCCATCCACCAAGCTCCAACGCCCCCGCCAGCGACTCGACCGTTGGGGGTCCCCAGGGCGCATCGAACATCCTCCGGGGCTCCAGCTGCCGAAGGGACTGCCTCCACCGCCCGCCATCTGCGCATGCAAGCCTGGGAGGGCCGTGGTGAACCACACAACAAACTCCGAGCTCACCAAAGAAGCCACCGATGCCGTGGTCGTGCCCCCAACATGTTCGAATTCACCCCCCGTGGACGAGCTGAGGCGAGCTCTCGCTGCGGCGCCGTCGCGAGCCGTCGCGCTGCGCCCTTGACTTTTTCGCCGAGGCGGTCAAGGCGATGGAACAACCCCTTGTGCAGCAGGGTGGCCAGGCATCAGTGGAGAGGTTCAAACCGTGGCTCAAAACAGCATCAAGTGAAAAAGAGTAGACCACTGATTTCATCACCCCAGCTGCTGGGAATTGAAGCACAAATGAGAGCGAAGTGCTGGATAAGCCCCAGAGCAATGCTCATCAATGTGATAAGGTTGAAACTGTGCACACTGCGGCACTGCGTTTTTAAAAATGGCTATGGTGCCGCAGTCTGCCTCCTCAAGAATTATGCCTCCCTGAGACTCGACGGTGAGTCATCTTCAGTCATCTCCCCTCATCTGTTCATTGAATATTATCTATGGACCTTCCACAACCAGGGTGAGTATGTGCCTGGCCTAGCTGGCCTATGGCAACTCAAACGCTAACTGAGATCCCTTAAACAGACTCTATGGAATCTTTGCTAACTTTGCTCGAAACAATCTTGAACATTCACCGAGAATGCCACATATGCCACATAAGAATACCGCTACAGTAAGGTACTGGGAAATCGTGCACACAAAGGACCCATTCTTACCGTGATTGTTGGGCCTAATTGGGGTTTCCTCGGCCTGGAGACCTCAATGAACCCAACCCACGACCTACACGGCGAGATGACGAAGCGGCTGAAGCGGCTGCGGCCGGCAACCAAGTACTGTTTTGGCTGCCCATGTCGGCGATGTCACCAAGACCGCACCCCTCATGGGTTAGGAGTTCTTTGGTTTCTGACCTTCACGGGGCTGGAGGTCCACCCTCCAAACTGATCCCAACAAAATTTGTTTAAGAAACTTCTGGCCCTCAAAACCTTAGCCCAAACTCAGGTGGGCTGGCTCTTCACAGCCTCTTGCTGAGAGATTGCATAGGCCCGGCCCAACGCCCCCGCACAAGCGAGGCGGAATATAGAGCATCTTTGAACTGATGGCTGTGACTGAGCGTTTAAAGAAACAAATGACCACTCAACTGAATCTGAAACACTCCGATGACTTCGTTCTCAGCCATCTGATGTCTATCCTCTGGCATGCTTTGGTCAACTTTAGTCTTCAGTCTTCTTGTGGTGCGAAAGCTCTAAAACTGACAAGTGGTCCTCCACTTCACTTACAAAGCTCGGCCTTCACCCCACATTCAGGATCACTTGGATAATGAAGATGGCGGCAAGTGGGACCTCATGAAAAAACAAAACAAAAACCATCATCAACCCCTCCCCCTTCGCTAAGAATTCCAGCTTTACGGTGCCAGCCAGTCACTTCAATTCATGATCCTGCGACATCCTGCCAAGCCGCATTGGATCTTACAGCCGCGCAGACCTTGCCCTCTGGAACACCAGTCTGACAAGCATGACTCGTGATAGGAGTGGCCGCACATCAGCCGTGTCACCACCTTTTTGATCTTGATCTCTCCCAAGCAAATTGCACAAATACCCTCCTGAGAAAACATCATGTCATGTCAGCACACAATGTACTTGGCCAAACCGCCAACCTCACCGGCCCACCACCGGTCCCCCTGCCGAAATGTCTCACAAAACGGGCCGACCCTGTACCTCAAATGACTGGGGCAGGTGACTTGAAGACCCTCCCCAGCCCCACCCGTGTCCTCCATGGCCATCTGCCGACACGCCCGCAGCGCCTCCGCCGCCGCGCCTGGGCTCCGCGCGCTGCGCTCGGAGCCCGGCGCCACCGCTGCGGAGCTGCCGCGCGACGACGCGTGGACGGCGGAGCGGCAGCCGCCGAAGAGGAGCAGGACAAGCCAAGTGCCCAGGAGGACCAGCAGCCATAGGAAGATGGGCTCAGCCATGCAAGTGGCAGGAAGAAGGGGGAACCCAAAATGAATCGCAAAAAGGATGGTGGCAAACGGGTCTTAGTGCTTGGAGTTACACCTGCATGATGCTTTAAGCCTTTCAACTTTGTTATTTAATAGCCCTGAATGCCACGAAATGGCCCTTTTTTGGGAGCTTGCGGCTCTTTGTCAGGTTGACCACACGATGGCCACCTCCACGTGGACGTCCTGCGCTGCCCTGCGCCTCCTACCTGTGGCGATAAAGTGGATCTACCACCTCCTGGACTTGCTGCATATCTCCCCACAGCTGCAAGCCGAAATGACCATCAAGACGTCAATCCGTCCGGCTTCGCTTCAAGCCCCTCCCGCGTGGCGCGCGTGGACGCGCGCGCGGACGCGTCTCTGGGCCCGGGAGCCACTCAACAAGCCGCCATTGTCACCTCGGGATGACCAGAATGGAAGGAACTCCGCTGATGAACGGTTCTTGCTTAATAAACCACCCATATGAAGAGGTTTACGGACTGCAACTTCAGGTCGCGCATAGTCACGCAGGAGGCAGACACATGCGGAAACGGTTCTTGCAAAAGTTGACCGGAAAAAGATGTCAGGGCCGATGGGAACATGGACAGCCTGATAGGTTCACACAGACCTTCCGTGGCAGTTCCCGCCACACGACCAAACGTGCAGCGTCGCAGCGCAACACGGAGTTCCCGCAAGGCTTGAGGTCAAGACTTCCAGCCTCGGTGTCGATCCACCCGGCGCATTCGGAGCATGAACGACGAGTGACTATGCCGCAAGGAGAGTCTGTGACTAGCGGCTAGGGGAGGATGGGCCAGGGCCATCATGATTTGGGTGCGGGCCATTTCTGAGATAGAAGGACGATTTGGAGCTTTCGTCCACTTCCAATGCAAAGTTCCCCCAAAATACCGTGAAAACCTGTTGTAAATTATAGATGGTTGCAATATGTTGTAATGCATGTCATCCCACATGTTTCTATATGCTGTTCCATGAAGATCTGTCCGCTGCAGCTTCTGGACGTGCGGGAGGGAACATGAGCCCGTTCACCCCATTCCACCGTCTCCTGACCTGACAGCATCCCGAAGCGCTCGCCCCCATTCTCTCCTCACCGCGACGCAGAACTGGGGACACCCGGCGCCAAACATGCTCGCTGCCGTGCTGTGCCCACTCCGCGGACGTCCGGCGCTGGAGCCAACAGCGACCGAAGGCACCGCTCAGAAGGCACCGCTCAGTTCGGCCCCGTGGCCGGTCTACGAGTCCCACTTGGCAGGTTATGTGGTTTCCAGGCCAAGGGCATCTGTGAAAAGGCACCACTATGCACCAATGGCGTGCATATTGGCGCCGTTGGTGGGTCGACGAACCATGTGAGTTTCGCATCATTTGGACGCGTTCGTGGTATCGGAAGAATGGAGAAACCATGCCAAGAGCTCCAAAAACCACACACTTCAGTTATGTTGGCAGGCTGGAATTAGAAGGGTGTAGCAAGGATTGAATATTAAGACATGCAGTACAATTCAGAAGCCTGAGAACCCGTAGTAGAGGGTAACATGTTACACATTGTCGGGAGTCGGTCGGAAAAGTTGTCTAAATCAGTGTGTAGCAGTACATCGAGTGCTGAAAGCCTGAACGGTTTGGCACCTGCACACTCAGCTTTTCTGGCCAGTCATCATGCGTCGAGACTTCTTGGAAGTAGCCACGACTGACCGATTCCTTCCAGCATGGGTTCCTGATGCAGCTTGGATTCCTTGCGGAAAAAAAACTCACCGTCTCGACTAGGTCCATCTGAGTCGATCGATACTCGAAGCCTAGCCTGGTTGAGCCATGAGCCAGGAGCCATGCTCCGTCAGGAACCGACGGCCGAAGGCACCGTTGTTGTCTTGGGAATTGAGTGGCAAGGAGTTGCACATGAAGAGTGTGATCAAGAAACGGCCCCCAATATGGATAATCCCCCAATATATAATATATATATATATAACCAGCTCTGAGACAGCTTTTTTTCCATGTATGTAGGCACCGGGACATCTATGATCCGTTTCCCCTTTGTCCAATGTGTCGTAGCTCATACCTGTCCATGCAGGGGCCTCCATTGCCTCTCCGCTTTGGGGTACGGGCCGTTGCGCGATGTCACTGCTCTTCGCCTAGAAGAAGTGGGTGAGATGTGCATGTTCCCGCCAATTGGGGTGTGTTCCCATCCATTCCCCGATGTGGGACCCGTAGCGGGAAAAATGAGAGTTGACTTATATAGTGGACCTTTAACTTTAAAGGCTGTTAAACCATGATGTAAGAAATTGTCCTAGACCTAGACACCCACTTTTTCCTGCTTGTCGCGAGGAGGTGCATTGGTGTCTTTGGGTTGCGGAATCGGAGCTCTCAACTGGAACGGAGAGAACAAACAGACTCATCATTGTCACAGCTTTGATGCTGCATTATGCACATCTCGCTCACAGAACGCGTTCATAAGTGAACAGGGAGGCCTCACCACAAAACCCACAGGCTCCTCCCACTGTGCTGCGCCGCCCACCCTTCTCCCCGGACGGCCGCCTCCATGCTCGCTGGGCGAGGCCTCGTCGCCGGAGCCCTCTTCGCTGCTGGAGGCGGATGGATTCCCTGGCGAGGGAAGCCCAGGAGATCCCAGGTGGATCTGTGCACCCGAAAACACCTGGAGCCCAAGGGGGGGACTTGTGCACTTGGAGTGGGAAGGATCTTGAATGGTTGAAGTATGTTTTTTCCTGACGCCCTATTGCAGTTTACTCAACAGATTCCAGCGGAGCTCCACTTGGTCAAAGCAAAGGGGTTATGATGGGTTATGAATGACTATCTTCCACGAGCCTCCGAAAGAAAAGAAACACGTAGCATTTCTCGAGCACACTCCACCACATGAAATAGAACCATAGAGACATTGGGCAAAGTGGAGCCTTTTTTTAACGGTCGCATCACCAGGTATGACACCGGAGGCCAGCCATGGATCAACATCTGAAGGTTCCTTTGAATGTTGTACTTCACCTTGATTCGGAGAGTAAGTGGTATAGAAACCCCGTGCCAGAAGCATAATATAGAAATTATATGAAATAACGATATATATATATATACAGTAAGTCTTCCCGCATCGGGTTCTATGGAACCAGGTCTGCACTGTCACGCCCCATTTCAGCCTCCTTCCTCTTCCACCTTGAGCCTCCTTTTCGCTGCCTCCTGCCTACGCAGGAGCAATGGCACAAAATGCACAAATAAGCAAACATGTCTGACAATACAATACAATCTATATTATATAGGAATATACCGGAATATGGTTGATTTCTCATGAAATGTTCAATATGCAAAGCTTCAGGAGGAAGATAGCTTCAGTTGGGTCCGTCTATCGAGTCCGTCTATCGAGCTTCGTTGCGAATCGGAGGTGCAGTCGCTTCGAAGCAAAAACGGACACCATCCCCACCCTCCCCGACTTTCTCAATCAGAGTGAAATGGAATGATTGGGGGACGTCGTCATGGTCGTTGTTTTCCGTTGGTTGCAGTATTTAGTATGTTGATATGCTTAGGTCTATAGTTATCTCCAAAAAACAATTAATTAAGGAGAATCAAGCTCAATAGCTGCAGTATTGGATGGTATGTTCAGCAACTTATGACGAGCCTGGCTTGCTTCCCTCTGACGCGGCTCTGGATCTTGGTCGCCGCAAGTTCCTGCAGGGCCCGGTTAAGGCTGACAACAGCCCAAGTCTATATGGTCATCCTGGAGTAGATAGAATACGGGAAAATCAAAAAAAACATAGGACACTGGTCATGTTTTTGGATAGGTTCATCCTCGTTCTTGCCCTGTAACATGGAATTCAATAGAGGACCGCCAATGTGGCATGTCTTACAACAGTTTCAGGCCAAGCATCTCTCTCTCGTTCAGCAGCTTCATCTCTGCCAGTCTCGTCGTCATCTTTTGATGTTCGTCTGCCAGAACCTGCCCGCTTCCTTTGGACTT